ACACACACACACACACACACACACACGCTCACACAAACATAACAAAACAACAAACAAGCAAGACGTCTTTAACAAATCAGGAAAAACAACAACCCAAATTAAAATATTATGTTTCATTGAGAATTTGAGCCAGGGTCATCCGCACCATCGCCCAGCATGACACCGACTGAGCTCACAGGGCTCCGTCACAGTTCACTTCTCCTGAGTTACTACCACTCAACTTTGTCAAGTAGTAAAAGTTGTTCCCGTATACGATCCGGACATTGGGGTTTGCCTTGTTAGTGAGACAACTTCTTGGGCCTTCGGCATATTGTGGTAGGATGGCCAGTTCCTTTCCACGCCGCCTTTACTTCCCCAACTCGAAGTCAGGTACCCATTACTGCTGGGTGGGCAGGAGAGGGCGAAAAAAAATCCGCGTCCGAACAGAGGGTCGAACCCGGACTTTCCGCTTCGGAGACGAGCGTACTAACCACTCCGCCACCGCAACCTCATCGTTAAGTAGTATGTACCATAAATGTGATAAATGGGCATCACCGGCAATTTTCCAGATTTTCACGTTTGCTGGATTCGGATCATTGGATTAGGGTCAGGGTTAGGATTCGGATTAGGATAAGGGATAAGGTTAGGGTTAGGGGTAGGGTTAGTGTTAGGGGTAGGGGTAAGGTTAGGGTTAGGGGTAAAGGTAGGGGTAGAGGTAAGGTTAGAGTAAGGGGCAAGGGCAGGAGCAGGGGTAAGGCTGTGGGTGTGGATGTGGGTGGGGGTGGGGTGTCGGAGGTGGTAGTGTTAGTGTAATGGTAGGAGTAGGGGAGGGGTATGGGTAGTGGTTTTCGTGGGGATAGGAAAAGGATTAAGATAAGGGTATGTGTTACCAGAACATCACGTTTGCTGTTGTTAATGATGATGATGATGATGATGATGATGATGATGATGATGATGATGATGATGATGATGATGATGATGATGACGATCACATACACAAAAGAAAAAAAAATAAACACAGCCTCGAAAGACGCACGTGGCATACCTGCATCTCTCCAGATGACAACTCTGAGCGGTATGATGACCACACTTGCCACTATATCCCCCAGAGCAATCGTCAAAACGTACATATTCATGGCTGTCATGAGAGAGGCGCTGTAGCCAATCGTCAGAGAGAGCGCGATGTTCCCGACTCCTCCCACCAGCATTGTCAACGCCCACAAGACGACAGTGACAGGCACCAAGTCATGGCAGGTGGGCAGTTCCCGCTGGGTGACCGATGCGGTGTTCCCCGTGGACCAGGAGGTGTTGGTCATCAGTTATAGCTGGACAGGCTGTTGCCGTGCATCAAGGGTGTCAGTTCTGAAATAATTAACATGAGAACAAAATAAGGAATGCTACTACTATATGGGGTTACTATTGTGTTAATGAAAAAAATATCGCTCTTCGGGCTTACACTGCGTACATCTTTAATCGGTGCCTTGAAAAATGTTTAAGAGTTGTTTAAAGCCATAAAACACATCTTTTCGAAGGCCATTTTAGATATCTGTACCAATAGCCTCCCCCCCCCCCCCCCCAACATACACACACAGCACACATACACACACTCAGAACAACACGAGAAAGAGAGACACAGAGAGGAGAGAAAAAGAGAAAGAGAAAGAGAGAGAGAGAGAGAGAGAGATAGAGAGAGAGAGAGAGAGAAGGAGAGGGAGAGGGGGAGAAGGAGGGGAAAGAGAAAGAATATATATTATTTATTTATATTTTAGGTGGTTGGTAGGTAGATTTTTTGATAGATAGATAGATGGTAGATAGGATAGGTAGTAGGTAGGTAGATTAGCAGGCTAGATAGATAGATAGATAGATAGATAGATAGATAGAGAGAGAGAGACAGAAAGAGAGAGAGAGAGAGAGAGAGAGAGAGAGAGAGAGAGAGAGAAACAAAAAAAAAAACAAAGGAAAAATCAACACAAAAAACCCAATATCAAAACAGGTGACAAAACTACAGACAGTTCCTCCACCAGCCATGAAAACAAGAGACAAAACAAACCGAATGAAAGAAAACAGGGCATAAATAAATTTAAGAAAACACCCCATCCAAGTACTTTGAGAAGATCGAGAACATAATAGTTGCACGGGGGAGGGTGGGGGGGGGACATGATGCCTTCTCGTGTATAGGGACATGGATTATGAAAAGCAGGATAAACAATGTTTTACGGTATCATGTGGGATTTTGACAATAAGTGATCCTGATGGAACACTCCGGAGAAACTATGCTGATCTTAATTAAGTAACAGAACTGATTGTAGTTGTGTTACATTAGACATACATTTCGAAAACTGCTATTAAGAGTATAACACTTTCATTTAAACTTGACATTCGTCCGTCCTTCACGTATGAGAAAATATTAATGATGCAGTCTTGGTAAAAATACTTCTTGTTTGTTATCTTCAAAATTCAGCCAGAAACTGAGTTATCTGCGAGTAATTTTTAAAATTTTAATACGATGGTTCCGAATTTTATATAACTTTTGCGACAGTACGTAGTTTTTAATACTTTCTCCCTTTCTTCAACTTTCTTTCGTTCGAGTTTTAAAAAAAATCTCCTAGCCCATTCTCTCCCCCCTTCCCTCCTCACTCTCTCACTCTCACTTCCAGTACCTTCATGTGCCCCCCATAGCATTCATATTTCCTCTCTACTCAAGGTTTTAGGTCTGGGGCAGACGTTAACGATCATGGTAACCCATCCATTTCGGTTGTCAGTCCTCTATAATATGTTCAGGTATTCCTAAAAAGATGAGTGCGTGTGTACGCACGACATGCATTCCCTCTTCTTCCGGCTTCCTCACTTGGTGTAAAAGCTGCTCCTAGCAGTACACTCATGAACTTCTCTTTTGGACTTTCTCATCTCTATTAACGTTTTCAACTGGCCAAAATGCAGAGAAAATGAATCAATTTGTTTCAAAATCACTTTCTTGTCCCAAGTGACGACGCGTCAAATTTGGAATAATCTATTCTTGTCACGGGAAAAAGGGAACTAGAAATCTTGGATAATCACACTTAGTAATTATTCCCAGGCTGTCCCAAAAAAAGGAACATCTTTCCCTGGAATTGAATCTTACACTCCTATTCTCCCATCAACCAACTCACTCACACTTCCATCTCTTCACAGTCCCTCGCGTTCTCCCACTTCATCATTCGTTTAATCAGCACCCCATTCCCTTCCTCACTCCGTCCTTCCAAACCTCCTCCACTGATAGTCACTATTTGGCATACATTTTACTTCACTCACTCCTTCAATCAATAAATCGCGCTTTCTTTCATTCCACCACCACCCACTCCCTTTTCTGCCATTCTCTTTTTCAATATCTCATCAGTAATCATTCGGCTGTCAGTTTCTCTGTCCTCTAAAGCTCTATCTCCAGCAATTTACGAAAGGTACAGAAAAGGAAAAGAAAAGAAAACAAATCCGAACCTTGAAGACAACATTTTATTATTTCAATTGATAGTGCAGGGAAGTGCTGGAAATCAGAGGTTGCCTTCAGTGTAAAGCACAGTCTACGACAGGGGTCTCAAATTTAAACAATACAGTAGCCGCTGGAGGTAGAGTCTAGATGAACCTGGTCCGTATAAAATATTCCACTATTTATGAAAGAACACCGATCTAATCATCTCAATTTTATTAATAGCAGCTCAGAATTTGAACGATTCTTCACCACCGGAAGCGGAAACGAGCCTGAGCTATGAGAGCCCATACACCATTAAACATTATGAAAATCTCAGGTAAAACTTCGGCAAAAAGGTGTGTAGGACAAAAACTTGTTGTCTCCTACATTTCCTCTCAACCCATTTTCCCACCCAGTGATCAAGTACCCCGGCTTTGATAAGACTTACGTTCTGCCAAGCAGGGTGATAATAGAAGCAGCATCAGAAACAACAGCAGTAACAGCAGCAACAACAGTAACATCAACAACAACAAAAATCCTAAAACAGCAACAAAGCAACAACAACAACAGCATCAACAGTAACAGATATATAATTAAGTATGCAAGCAATCATATTACTGGAATCTAAGCTTCTTTAAGTAGAAAACTTCAATTACACAACCCTCCCTTCCTTTCCCAGCCCTACTTCCAGAGAACAGAGCAATACTACTTCGGTGAAATGTATCCTATATTTTGTTGTTCACAAATATTCTAAACACATTTGTCTAAAACTACAATTGTCCAGCTAATTTGACTTTCAACAAGCGTTCAAACCGGCTAACATGAGCGCATTTGGACGACCCAAGAATGATTCTCGGTGCAGCAAAGAAAAAATGTACGAATCTGGTAAAATATTAATGGAGAATCGGAAAAAAACAACCTTTTAATCCCCTGGAGTCTGGCAAAATCCTCCAAACAATTAAAAAAGAAGCTTAGATCTTCGATAATGACGTCTCTGTATTTGGTGTAAAAGCGTTCATTGTCACCCCAGGTGAGCAATGGTGGATTAATGAAGATCAATGTGGGATTACATCTCGGCGTCAGATGTTGCTAAGCGATACAGGACTCAAAGTGGTCAGAGGGTGCAAAGGTAGTAAAAATGCCTTATACCTTTTTTCTGACTGGGGGTTTACTTCGAGTGACAATTACTAAGTGACGGGTCGTAGCTCTGAACACAATACACTGTTTCTAATTTCCGACATTAATCACATAGCCCTCAAAACTGTCTGATCGACAACGCCACTGTACTTCACGGCACTTTCGTTCACCCAGTCCACCGTCAAGACCACAAATACCATCGTGAGCAACTTTTCCAGGGTTTTTTTTTT